CTGATACTCATCTCCTTTTTAAAGTGCATTGAGATATACTGATGAAAAGTGCTATGTAGGAGGTAGGTATTATTGCTGATTAAGAAGCTTCTCTTTACTCAGCTGTTAAGGCTGATGAGGAAGATGGCCACCAGTGGAGGCTGATGAAAACATCTCCACAGAGATAACTGACATTGCAGAGAATGGCATTCACTTGCTCATCAACACTGTAGTTAAAGTTATGGTCAGACTTCCTTATAATCCTTTGGTTTGATTCATGACTTGGGAAAATTCTCCATTTTGGCTGAATTGTTCTATTTGTGGTCTCAGCCCAAAGTTACATGTTTTGGAAGATTTGAGTAAAATCCACCACCACCCTATTCCGACCCCGTTTTTTGGTCCCCCAAAGTTATTCAAAGGGAATAAAAACTTTTCTCGCTATTAAAAATAATATGCACATATAGCTCCAAAATGCTTGAACTTGAGGAGAATTTCTGGGTGGCTCATATTTCTGGAGGACTAGTCTCTAAGCCAGTTTACAAAAATAAAATTAATGGAGATATAAGCAATTTCAGCTAAGAGTAGAAGTACGGTACTATTTATAGATCAGCAGGAGAATGTAAATACATCGTAGCCTCATTCTCTTCTCGTGCCAGGATAAATCAGGAATAATTCCATTGAAGTAAAAGCGGTTACATTGGTGTAAAGATGATGTAAGTGAAGATAAGGAGTGTCAGACCCATAGTACTGATGATTGTTATGTAGGTTGTGCTTTCAGCTGCAGTTTCACTGTTGTTTCATTATAAACGTATGAGATGCATAAGTTTTGTCTGTGTGAATCTGGAAGTACGTGTTCCGAACTGGAAATAGGAATAAAACTAGCCTGGGTAAAAGTATTAAAGCACTTCATACTGAAAGAACTCCACATAAGCCTTGAATGGTTTTCTCGTGATCTCCTATTCTTCAGGAGGTCTTTGAGTCCTCTTGAGATCTAGTCACAATATTACAAGTTCACTGAGCTAAATTCTCAGTGCAAACCTAGTGACATATGTGAATTTGGCACTAAAGAACTGGGACTTGGCCTATTGCCTCAATTTACTCATAGACATCCCCACCCCCACCCCCATTCAATGCATGCCCACAATATCTTAATAGCGTTGTCTTTCTGCCTGTGTCACTCATGGTATTCAGCAGCGGCCCCATATTTTCAATCCCCAAATCTTTCTCATCTGCTTTTCTCAAGGTATTTGCGTTACACCCACCTAGAGCAGCAGCCATATCAGTGCTCGGACCAGCCTCATAGTTGTGTCTCCTTCTCGTCAAAATGCTTTTAATTAATACGAACCATGAACAAACTGTTCGTTTTTTCACATACCCAACCTATAGGCATCGTCATTCATTCACCTTCCTTTTTTGCCAATTTATACTGAATTGGTAATGTCAGGAGTTTGTTACTGCGTCTCGAATCAATTCTCCGGGCTCAGTGATAATAAGAACAACAGTAACAACCATGAGGCTATGGTACAGAGCTGTCCATTTGAACAGCGTGGCTGGATTAAATATTCTTTGCATTTGGTAAGCCAGCAAATGCTCCTTGTTGTTGATGACCCTGAAATTATCGAGAGTTCAGCTGTACTCATAGGTTTGTTTTTTATTCATGAGAACATGTGTCCTTTGAAACAAGGAAAGTGTCAGCTCCTAGTACTCCAGAGATATTAGTGCTCCTGTTGTGGGGGCTATCAATGCGCTCGCAGAAAGAAGAGAGAATATGACAAAATTGGGTAATTGAGAAATGATGTGCCTTGCAGATGGACAATGAGATGATGTGGAGAAAAGAAAAGGGTCTTGGAGAATTAAAGTAATTAAAATCTTTGACTTAAAAGGGAGCACAAAGAGCTCATTAGCATTTATCTCAAAAGCAATTGGAGAGGTGATAATAACGTAAAAGGAATAGAAAGCAATACTGGAGGGGTCCAATTCTAACTTTGGATGATTATTTATCGCTCGCATTGACTTCAGTGGAAGATGAACATGGAGATCCGAGGGCAGAGTTTTGGCCAGAAGAATGAGTAAAGCACGGAGTCGTGACTCTGTCACAAGAACACACCATAAACTGTCTTGAACTTCACTGTTTTGGTGCAACTTTTTCCCATCCCGTGTGTCAGACAGTTTAGCTAAAAACCAGTCCAAACAGATTCCTGAGGAATCCCGGCCCATGACCTCTGGGGAGCGCCTTTTCAGTCCCCTCTCCTTCCCGCCTCCCACATCCTCCTATATAGTTACAAATACAGATGTGTCTCTTGCCAGTAAGAGAGGGAAAAATCCTCTTTCGGGGTCTGTGTTTATGCTGTTTTACTGGTCAACAGGTAGGAAGCAACTGTCCCCTTTTTACATGTCCAAACTCTCCTGGAACCCACGTGGGAGCCGGTGAAGAACCAAGAGCTCCTGTGCTGCTTCCAACTCACCTTTGCAATCATTTACCTGAGCTTTAGTCATGTTGCCTTGGCAGAAAAGAGAGATTCATCGGAAGCACCAACTTCCATAAAAAATCTATTGAAACATAGAAAGAAAATAAAAAGATTAATGAGGCCAAATATTGCTTGATTTACATGAAAGGATTCATTGTGTAACCCACACAACTCCTGGGTGTGGTGTTCTGTCCCATCGAGACCATTTAGAGAGAGAGATTAATGAGTCTGCTCTACAGCCTTTGCTAACAGCCATATGGCTTTTAGCTCATGCAGTCGAGGCTCATGCACTGCGGTCCCAGGTTTGATCCTCCCTGCCGACGACTGGAGTCTGTTGGTGTTACAAGTGGGCACTTGTAACGCCACCAGATCCTAGTCGTCGACAGGCGGGATTGAACCTGGGACCTCTGTGCAGGATCCTCTTCTGCATGAGCTAAAAGCCAACTGACTGTTAGCTAAGGCTGTAGAGCAGACTCATTAATCTCTCTCTAAGTGGTCTTGGTGCCACTACATGGGACAGAGCACCATACCCAGGAGGTGTGTGGGTTACAATTGCATATAAGTTAATGGTTGAAACAAAATGGCATAGTAATACTATTACACAACCAGGAAACACAGAGAAAATGCATGAATTAAAAACTTAAAGCATGTGTGCGTGTGTGTACGTACGCGAATACAAGTGTAATTCCATTAAAAATAGTGGGCAAAGGGAAGATCAGTGGTGTCCAAATCCAAGAAATGCTATTGCAAGAGGAGATGTCGCTGAAAATGTATTGGATGTAAAGATAAAAGTATATTGTAATATGGTGCTAAACTCTGCAGTGCTTCCCTTCCCTTCAAGCCTGATCCAAAGCCCTTTGATGCCCATGGAATGACTCTAAATAGCCCAAAATGAGTGTTTCATGAGCCCAAGAAGCCCATGAGGTTGTATGGAACAAACCGGCCAAGTTCTGCACTGCCTTCCACTCTGGGTAACTGGGCTTAGTGGAGTTGCATGTGGTGTAAATCAGCCCAGAACATGGCCCAAAATCTTTAACTCTTTGAGACTTTGCTGAGCTTTGACAGGTTAACAAGGAGCATATTCTTAAGGAAGTGTAATAGAGTTTTTTCAGCTTTTCGTAGCTGTTGCTTGCTAGTCTGAGTACAGTTGTGGGTTAATTAAAATTTGTTCTCCCTGTAAGGATTAATTTTGCCATCTCTATTTACACGGTGATAAGAAGTGCTTACCTTCCCCTTTCAGTCTACACTGATGAATCTAGCAGGTAATTTCTGATTCGGTTATGTGCGCTCAGGTTATGTGCGCTCAGGTGCACTATCTGATCTGGAACCTCACCCTTCCTTTGATGCGCCCTCACCTTTTGGGAAGAAATGAATCCTTCAGTTCATTTCCTTTGCCCAGTTTGCCCCTTGAGGTGAGGGGTCAGGAGAGAGGGGGCTAAGCAGAGTTGGAAAACCTCTGGTTTGCCTTTAATTTAGGCATCATCTTTTGAAAAGCCAGCCGTGCGCTTTTCCTGTCAGCTGTGGGCAGCTCTATTTCGTGCAACTTTTATAGCTATTAAGTCATTTGGGGTTGGAGCTGGCATGCAGCAGCAGGGGAAAATATTTGGATCTGTCCAATCAAGAATGTTCCTGGGGCACTGGGTGTGTTGCCAGAGGCTTGCCAGTGAAAGTGCTCGTTAGCACCGTGGACTCTGATTGGCTGCTAAAGTTAATGACAGGCGTAGATTCCAGTCAATTTGGGGACTGGTTTTGGAGCTCTCTTAGGCGGGCTGTGACCTGGCAAGGCAGGCTCTGGGAGATTAAGGGTGTGGAATGATTGTGGCTGGGTTGTCTGCCTCCGCCCGTTTGACAGATCTGGAACGTGACTGGATCCGGATTGGCCAATCTGAGTCACAGAAAGCAAATTGCCAGTTAAGAAGTTACCCTTGTTGTGTTAAATTTTCCATCACTTTATCGGAATCAAGAGCAGAGTGCTCTTGAGGGGAGTTGCTATTCACTGTTGCCCTTACCTGTGCAGTGAAAGAACTTCGAATAAAATAAAGACTGCGGCCCAGATTCACCTCAGCTAGTGCAGAGAGGTACCAGTTTCACTTCCCTGCACCCCAGGAGGCTGCTGAGGTGATACACGAGGAGCCTGATCCAAATCAGTGCAAGTGTTTGCATTTACTCAATGGCCTTTGAATCCTTTGGCAGGCTTCATCATGTCCTAGTGTTGCCTAATGCGGCTTCCTTCATGGACAACACTGGCTCCATATTCCGCTCTCCCATCCTTCCTCTGCAAGGCAGGTTTCCACCATTGCACAAAAGTATTACTGTATATTTTGAGTTGATATCCAAACATCGCTTCTAAATGCTGAATATACAGTGTAAAAAGAAAAGCACCATAAAGTAGGGGAGGGTGGGGAAAGGGAAGATAGAAACCAAATGAATATCCTGGATTTTAATTGTTTTGGGCATTAGAGTCAAGGCTTCTGACTTGTCAGCATCAGTGTAATTGGACAATGTTTCCCGGGTGTTCAAGGAGGTAAACCCTGCTTTTTCCTTCCAGAACCCTGTGTTGTGTAAACGAGCTGATGGATGAAGATGAGAAGGACAGGGCAAAGAGGTATGGATGGACGTACAGAGCACTGGAAGGGGTGTGCGTTAAATCCCTCTCGTATGTGGAAATGTAACAAGATTTGCTTGCATTGTGATTGGAATGCTTTCTGGGGCCCCAGTCGGCTACTGTGGGTTTCAAAGGCAAAAATCCCACTGAGTTCACTGGAGCACGATTGCATTCTTTATATGTCAGAGTTGGCGCAGGGACAAATACAGAGCCTTTTTCATCACCCAGTGGTGCAGCTGATGCCCAAGAAAAGGCTAATCAGCTCTCAGAGATTGCTAGGTTATATTGTCTTGCCCTCGGGATCATTGATCATCCAGTTTACTGTTTGTTATGATGATTCAGTGCTCCTGGTTGGGGTTTTCATCGGTTGGGTTTAGTATCTTGTTGGAGGATGATTTCTCGGTGAAGTTTAGAGGAGGTTCCAGCTTAATCCTGGGTGTGAATTCATCTCTTTTAATAAAACTATTACCTTTCTAATTGGTCTTTGGACTTTCACTCCAAATACAAATGGGGCCGAATGAAAACACTGGGTCTGAGACACACCCCCCCCCCCCAAATCTGGTGTGGGGTGTTTGCTTTCAAATCTGAACCTAGATGGGCTTTCTATAAAATACCCGTTCCAGATCCCACGAGCAGGAGCTCTTGTCGACGTGAATAAACTCGTCAAAGATTTTAATTGCAAATAGTGCTGCCAGTGTCCGCCTGCTGCAAAGTAGGGTCATTTGTGATACTAGCATGGAAAGGAACCTTATGGAAGAAATTGCACATGGGCATGGTTCCAGCTTTACTATTGATTTTAACAAAGGGGAAAACTTTATTGAAACCTTCTTAACCATTATTAAGGCAGGTTGGAAGTTGGTGTGTGGTTTCTTTGTGCATTATGTTTCTACTCAGTTCAGATTTTCAAACTATTACGTGGCCTCAATTTTGTGCAGTTTTTTCATAGCCAAGTTTTTCTGGGCACAAAACTTGTGTATGCATGTTATACTTGTATGCAGAAACCAGGAAATAGGTATCTCACCCATTTTGGCACACATAATGCAAAAAACCAGTCATGAAGAAACTACTCAGAAAACGATCCGCATACACAGTCGTGACTGCAATTTTAGAGGCCAGGTGGAGAGCCCTTTGAAAATAATGCATATATTGGAACTGAGTGACATTTTTCACATGAAAGTTTTTTGTCAGTGAAAAATACAGATTGGTGACATCAAAATGTTTTGCAAATTCATGTCAATTTCATGGAATTGTTTCAGTCAAAAATACCCCCAAAATTTGGAGAAAGTGAAACATTTCAATTTTTCAGTTTGAAACAATTTTTCAAAATTTTCTTTGATTTTATTTTAAAAAACAATTTATTTTTATTTTTAAAAAGGTCAAAATTGAAATGAAACGTTTTGATTTTGTCACAACAAAAAATGTTACGTTTTTTCCAACTTTTCGATTTGCTGAACAATTGAAACAATTGTTTTTGGTTTAACCCAAAGCAATATTTAAAATATTTCTTCTAAATTGGCAGCAAACCAAAAAACCTGCTATTCACACAGCTCGAGCGTATACCAAATGACCATCTCTTTTCAAAAAACCCCACTCAAAACCAACCAGGGCCAGCTCCAGGGGTTTTGCCGCTCAGTCTTCAGCGGCAATTCGGCGGCTGGTCCTTCGCTCCGAGAGGGACTGAGGGACCCTCCGCCGAATTGCCACCGAAGAGCCGGACGTGCCGCCCCTCTCTGTTGGCCGCCCCAAGCACCTGCTTGCTGGGCTGGTGCCTGGAGCGGGCCCTGAAACCAACCAACCAAAACCCTGCCTAAGTAAATAAACGTATTCACTCCAAAGAATATCAGTGGTTTTTCTAACCTTCAGATGTTCCTTGTTCTTTGTGAGCTTGATTCTACTGAGAGATGCTGAGCACTCTGGCTCCGATCCAGCAAAGTTCTCAAGCACATGCTTAGCTTTAAGCATAGGAGTAGACCCATTGAAGCCAATAGGACTTTAAGTTAAGCGTGTGCTGTCGTGCTTTGCTGGGCCGGAGCCTCTCAGGACCTTGCAGGATCGAGACAATCACCCCTTGCTTTCCTTAATGGTGTTTGTGTTTTGATCAACCAGGGCATCACGCAACAAATCTGAAAAGAAAAGGCGAGACCAGTTCAATGTCCTCATCAAAGAGCTCTGCACGATGCTGCAGGGTCATGGCCACCCTCTCAAGATGGACAAGTCCACAATATTGCAGAGGACCATTGACTTCTTACAGAAACAGAAAGGTATTGGATAGTGCTCGGCCCGCGCTTACCGCCCTCCAAGGGGTGTGTGAGAATTGCTGAGGGGGTCAGAGAGCAGCTGGCCAGCGCTTTATTCCTGGGGAGAACAGGGACACTGAGCTGCAAAACAGCACAGTGGTGTGAGCGGTGAGCAGAGCAAGGGGTAATAGCCGGAGTTGGCCTCCAGAGGAGGCTGAATTCTCTGATGCAGGGTTAAACCGCAAAGCACTTGAAAAGGGGCGTGGTTGTAATGTGCAGCTCTAGGCCAGAGCCTAGCAGTGTGTCTAACTGCAGAGCTCTAGTCCCACCCCTGCCCTCCGTATTCCCTTGCATCTCTTGGTTTGCTCTCCCTATCCCTTGCTCCCCACTCTACTTTATCTAATTCCTTGCTCCCCTCTTGCACCATCCCGTTGCCTCTTCTGCTCTGCCTTCAGTCCTCTTTGCTCTTCCTCATCTGTCCCTCGCTGCTCTGCCAGATTCTGTGTCCCAGTTCTCCATCTCTCCCCTGTTTCCCAGATGGCCTGGCCCTTGCTATGTGATCTGTTGCCCAGTCTCTCCCCACAACCAAGCTCTCTTTGCGCCCGTATCTCTTCCTCCCCATGGCCCCTTTGCTGTTTGCGTTCTCCTGACTCCCACCCCTTTCTTTCATTCTCCTGCTTCCCCACAAACCCCCAAGTCTCATTTTTCCTGAACCTGCTTCCCTGTGTTAATAGGGGAGGGCACCAGATGACTTGCTTCAGGGCTGTCTCCTGGCTCCTTCACACAGTGTAAGACATGCCCCCAAACAAAGCAGAGTTGGCCAGTGGCTACCAGGTCAGGGCAGCAGAAGAGCCTTGGGTAGCGTGGGGGAAAGGTAGTTCTGTATTCTGTTGCTTGGAGCTTCATGGAGCATGTCAAACACCCATATGAACAAGGGACAGCTGGCATCTGGCCATGCAAGTGCTAAGGGATGCCCCAGGTGGCCGCCTATGTTGCATATAGCACCATGAATTGAGTAATTCTCCCTCCTGTGGGCTCTTAGTAGGTAATTTCAGATTTGAGGTCAAATATTGCTGTCTACGATGCCACTGCAAATCTGGAGTAACCCCATGTGCTCTGAGGGGATTACTCTGATTTACACTGACTTAACTGACCGCAGAATTTGGGCCCCGATCTTCTTTTTAAAATTATTCTCACACCTCCTTTTCCACCTCCTTTATGTCTTCCCCTTTCCTTGATCTCCCCAATGACATTCGTACGCTGCTGGAGCTGAGACTTCCATGTAAGAGGAGATTATTCCTTGTGAAAAATCTAGCGCTCCCTCAAAAATGAAAAACAATCCAGCTGACGTGGGTCCTGTTGCTTTTCTGATATTTTCTCTTTAAGAAATCACAGCACAGACCGAGGCCGGTGAGATTAGACAAGACTGGAAGCCTTCGTTTCTTAGCAATGAGGAGTTCACCCAGTTGATGTTAGAGGTAAGAAGAAATGAAAGATTTCTGAGGGTGGGGGAGTGGCGGGCTCAGAGGTACAGTGCCTTTCATCTCTCGGTCATTGCATCCACTAGCAAGTACTGAGACGACACAACTCGTTCCTGGAGAGCATTGACTGCCATCAGATTATTACTCTTACCGTTATTGTTTGTGTTATGGTCTGGAAGCCTCCGTCCTGGGGCAGGTCCCTGTTGTACAACCCAGAATAATAAGATGATGCCCCGTACATTGTTTACAGATGATAAACAACTTTCTGTTACTATCCACCTGGTCTGGCTTTGAACAGGTGGCAAAGCCAGTGTGGGGGAGAAAAGGGCAGGGAGCCCCCCTCACAGAACAGCCAGCAGAGCTGACAGAGGACAAAAGGTGAATGGACCTGGAGATTGAGCGACCCGCTCCCTCCCAGGTCTAGCCTGAAGCCTGTCAGCAGGGCAGGGTGGGAAAGCCTGCACTGCTGTTGGACGTGCTGTGCTGTACCTGTTTTGTGGCTAAACAGAGAACGGTGACTCCCACCCCGTTTGCCAGCAATGCCTTGGCGTGAAACATGTAGAGGAGAAAGGCCCTGGTTCTCGCACACAAAAGTTCTTAGCGGGTGGAGACACATCCTGCAGAAGAGCTGACATTTCTGCAAGCCTTTCTTAGAGAAGGCAGCTTCTGATTCCACGTCGCATGCTACTGCGGCTGTGAGTTCTCCCCTCCTTTGAAGTCAGTTGCACCAGAATAAGGGTGTATGCTGGGCGGCATTGCAGTGTCTTGGTTATTCCTTTTCATCAGGATGTCATGAGTGACCTCCTTGGAAAAGTCTGTTCATTCTTTCCGGGAGTTGCTCTCACCAAACAAGTTAGTTCATTCGGGTTTAATCAAAACAGACACCAGCCTGAGAGATGGCAGGGGGAGGAGTTTGTAATAGCTCTCACTCTGTGTGGCTGTATCACACCGTGTACTGGTTTGCTTTTTAGTCACAAAGCTAATCTGTGCTGAGACAGTTTGGGACTTTTATTTTCAAGTCTCTGTTGCTCTTCATGCTTGAGCCAGGGCAGAGTGAGTGAGGAGGAGAGGTGATCGGGGAAGAGGGAATGGAGGATACCTGCACCACCCATCTCTGCTGCCTGTGAACTAAACTACAGAGCATCATTAGCACTGGCATTGGAAGAGATTGCTTTGTTTGTTGTGCTGACCAGAGATAAAACATTCCTGACCTTGATAGCTGTCCTAGAAGAATAGGGGCCTGGGCTAGTAATACAGGAAGGAAACACACTGACTCAGAATGAAGGGAAAGAGAACTTCAGCGCCAATGCTGAGTTCCCCATCATGTAAGCTCAAATGCTTCGGGGCCCTGCTAACTCAGTAGAGCTTACACATGCTATTTATACATCAGAGATACAGTCATCCAGCAAGGGAGAAGTAGGGGCAGCCATTGTAGATGAGAAAAGAGAATCCAAACTAAAGTAAAAAACAATCATTTCTGTCATCGGCTATACAGGTGTGAGCAAAATAAATAACTTTTTAAGTCTCATTGGCTTTAGCTATAAATTGGTAAATCTGTATCTGTCTGTCTGTCATTTCCATCCTGTGCTCACCATGATGGTATTTGGCATCTCTGTTAGTCGGTAGGTTAACGATTGCGTAACTTGCTACATATAATCGGAAGTCAGCAGGATTGTATGGGGGGTGAATGAGGAATTGGACATCCTATATCTTGCTTCATGTTAAATCAAGATTCCGTGGATGCAAAATGCAAGTTAAATTAATGCTAATGAGAAAGTAATTAGCTAGAAGGACTCTGAATGAGGCACCATGTTTAGTAATTACTTTTATTCTTTCTATCCTGAACCACTATGGATTTATGTTGGTTGCAGTGTTAGAGGCATCACTTTTGAAAAAAATTACCTCTATATTGTATTTGAAGTACAGGTACATTCTTATTTTTCTTCCTGCCTTTTATCATTAGGCATTAGATGGATTTCTCATTGCACTTACCACTGACGGGATTATTATTTATGTATCTGATAGTGTCTCCTCTCTTCTTGGACATTTACCGGTAAGTTCTAACAACACAACGCTTGGACGTCTGGTTTGTAATTTAGAATGTCCAGATTGTTACACACCTGAGGCTCGACAACAACGTCCCCCAGCTAGGGTGACCAGACAGCAAATGTGAAAAATCGGGACAGCGGGTGGGGGGTAATAGGAGCCTATATAAGAAAAAGACCCAAAAATCGGGACTGTCCCTATAAAATCGGGACATCTGGTCACCCTGCCCCCAGCTGGTGTAGCGTGCACACTCCCCCAGCAAGCTCCGGGATTGTGTACAGAGAGCCCTCACAGAGCTCCTTCTAGGGGCTGTGTGATATAGCTCAGTTACATTGTCCAGGTGGCCTTGTGCCTACCATGCACAGTCTGACCCTAAGATTGTCATAGAGGAACAAATTCTGCCTCCCCCATTGAAATCAACAGCAAGATTTCCATTGACTTCAGTGGGATCAGAATTCGGCCCTGTGCAAGAAATAGCTTTCTGCAGTGTCCAAGTGGCTTAGCCAACACAAGTGTGCATGAGCAGAATATACAGTGTGACTGATATTTGCCCTCATTTCTCAAATCATATCTTCCATTCAGGCTAGTAATACTGTATACCTGACTAATAGCCACCGCCACATTGCATACTGGGAGTTGCAGCATTCCCCACATGGAGCCTGCTGGGCTGTGAGATGCTTCAGATGGAGAAGCACTGTGTGACTTCACTTTTACTGAGAAACCCATCATGTGCTGCAATCCACTCACAGTAGTCAATTTCCATTCAGTTGTGCTTTGTCATACACAATATTAGCCATATTGTATCTGGTCATGGAGGAGAGAACTAACTGGATGAATGCAATGCCTTCCTTGGCTTATGAACCCAACAAACCCTTAGGGACTATCCCAGATTGCTGTGAAATCCCTAAGTAATAGATTTTGCATTAGGATCTCTGACTTAGCTTAAAAAAAATGCAGAATGATAGTAGCCACAGCTTTTTGTACATCTGAGGCCGCTTATGTGTGTTGTTTATTCCACCAAGTGTCTGGAAAATATTGTGGTCATGGAATGTGCTCTTGATAATGCTATTTTCAAACAATGTACAGATGGTGTGAGGGCTAAATCTCCTCACTTTTGATCAAAAGCACATGGGCATTAGACGTGTCTGAGGCCTGAGGTTTCTGGGAAGAATGTGTTACACTAGTAAGCAACAATCTGGTACAGAAGTTGTTTCTATTCCCTCAAAAGTGTAGTTAGTTCTACTCTTTGGTGCCAAGCATGTGTATATAGGCTAGTCTGTCTACCTGTGCCATATGATTGTAAATGCTAGTGTAGACAGGGCACAAACATGTGTTGCCTTGTTAGTACAGCAGGTCAGGGAAGCTTCAATGAAACCATATTCCATTGGACTATGCAGTTCCATCGACCTCGAAATGCTTTGTGAAATCGGGTTGATTTCACTGGAATTTTGTATCGGGGAAAACGTTCTGATGATGTTGAAACGATGTTTCAACACTTTTGCACCAAAACGTTTTGGTTCTGAATGTCCTTTTTGTTTCTGTTTTTAAATGTTGTTGTTATGTTGCATTATGTTATACAAAATATATTTACAAGTTGAAATGGAAACAAAACATTTCAATCGACCTGCAACCATTTTTTTTTTTAAAGAATTTTCCTTCATGGAGAATTTTGAAATGAAATTTTTTGCCAATTTGGAATGAAGCCAAATTTTGAAATCTTGAAATCCTTCGTGAAACAGAACTTCCTTTCTCCACACTGCTCTAGTTGCTGTTACAAAACTATCAACAAATGCTTGTTTCCTGGAACAAATGTGTCTGTAGAGTCAACACTAGAAATTACCATCCCCTTGGTTAATTCAAGAAACAGAAAAGCCCTGTGTAGATTCTGGAGTTGACACTGAGCTACGATCTGAAGAGATTTGACTTCAGAAATTCACTGACAAACACAGTTAACTTTGAGTTACTGGATACCTGAATGTGAAATGTCTATGAGGGCTGTGCCCACTCACAGTGTGTCTGTTGCTCGATGGAATGCTGAGGTGCTACACCATTCCTAGCGTCACCATCTTCCAAACCTACTCCTTGGTACGCTTTTACGCAGCTCTGGGGTGTCAGGGTTTATTGGGGCTTCCCTGGCTTTAATCCTCTGAATGATGGGCAGATCCAGGGGAGCTTAAGTTACATGGAAGTCTCTCCTCTGGAGTAGCACAAGGTTCCCCATATAGTTGTTTAGCTCAGCCTCATTTTACTACAGATGTTATGCTATGGATAAACCTTCATTTTTTTCCCATATGGACCACTGATTTTTACACAGAACCCCCCATTTATTTCCATGGGGAGTATCATGTGCAGACTCATGTCAGGATATGGCCACTTCACCTTGCGTGGTCCCTCAGAATATGTGCTAACTGCTTAGGCTAAACTATCTGCTCGTCCTTGTATTTAGCTGTGACACTCTGAGTACCTGTCCCTGACCTGACGAAGAGCTCCGTGCAGCTCGAAAGCTTGTCTCTCTCACCAACAGAGGTTGGTCCAATAAGAGATATTACCTCACCCAGCTTGTCTCTCTAATATCCTGGGACCGACACAGCTACAACAACACTGCATGCTTTCTATTTAAGCAGAGAGTAAGATGAATTTTCCCTGTACAGAAGAAAACACAGGATTAGTGTTTCTGATTATCTAGGTTTAGATTGTATCTTTACTTCCCTCATTAGGGGTGTTGGGAGGATAAATACATTAAACGATTGGGCAGTGCTTTGCCATCAACTCATGAATAGCAGTATATAAGAAATAGGTATTATTATTATAATTATTACAATCTGTCTTGAGGAAGGGGCGGTGCCCTGAGAACAGCGCAGAGAATGAGAATCACAGTTCCTCTCTCTATCTTCCATGTAACATTGTCTAATGTAAATTCCTTGTGTTAAGTGGTCCTGTTAAAATGACTGCGTCTGCCCACCGTTCTACCCATTGATCAAAGTGTTTGTGCCTCTGGACGGGTGAATGCTGTACTGTTGAACATGACAAAGCATTCTTTTGTCTCAGTCAGATTTGGTGGACCAAAATATATTAAACTTTCTGCCTGAGCGGGAACAGAGTGACGTATACAAGCTCCTTTCTCCACGTGTGCTCATGACAGATCCTGTTGCAGCTGATTTTCTGAACAGTAAGCATCTCTCAAGACTAGATTTAAGGGGAAGATTCTAACCGGCAAACGGCTCCCAGGGAGCGTACCGATGCTGGCTTTTCTTTTATATAGTGCCAGTTCTCTTTCACCAGTTTCTAACAATTCAGCACATCATTCCATTTGGTATTTGCCCTTTGATGTGTCACGTAATCTTTGTTGTTGTTTATTTCTGATCACAATAGAAAAATGAAATGGATTCATTTCACTTGACTCCCTTAGATTACTCTCCCGGGGCGAGATTCGGTGGTGAGCCTCTCAGAGGCGTGGGTTTCACAGCCCGGATGGAGAGTTGGCTTTGGGGGGGGCCTTTGTTTCCTTCTGATGTTGAGAGGACTGGAGAGGCCCCGGGTGGCTTGTCTATATTATGGGCCTCAGGACTACAGCTCTGCATGCTACAGCCCTGTCCCCAGCCTGCCCCTCCGCTCCCAGCCCTGTCCCCTGGTTGTGAGGGAATCCTCTAGAGTGAGCCTGATGACTGACTTCCACAGTACCCGTGCGGGGGGAGCCCTTCCTCAGACGGATATGGGACCTTTGTATGCTGCCCTTGCCCTTTTTTATGCGGCATAAGGAGGCTGGGGGGGAGGCAGGGTGAGTATATCACCCTCGTGCAGGGAGCCAGCATCTGGCCTAATCAGTCCCCACTTAAGTATCATTTAAGCCCTTGAAATAAGACCTACCTGGAATTTCAGCAGTGCGCAGGCCTTGTGCTCATCCTGTGCACAGGGGAAATGTCACCCTGGCTGCAGATTATATAATCCAAGGAGTTTGTGCCTCAGAATATTCATTTGTATTCAGGGCCGGCTCTAGGATTTTTGCCGCCCCAAGCAAAAAAAATTTTTGGCCGCTCCCCCTTTTTTTGTGCCCCCCACCCCGCCCCAACTCTGCCCCTTCCAAACCCCTTCCTCAAATCCCCGCCTCCTCCGCCCCGCCTCCTCCCCCGGGGGTGCCGCATTTCCCCCCCGCATTGCTTCCTGCGGCCCCTCCCGCGACCTCCCGCCCTAGCTCACCTCCGCTCCGCCTGCTCCCCCGGGAGCGCCACCGCTCCGCTTCTCCTCCCTCCCTCTCAGGTGAGGGACCAGGGAGAAGCAGAGCAGTGGCGCGTTCAGGGGAGCAGGCGGAGTGGAGGTGAGCTAGGGTGGGGGGGGCACAAGAAGTAACGGGGGGTAGAGGAACCGCTCCCCGCTCCAGCTCACCTCCACTCCACCACTGCCGCCTCCCCTGAGCACCCCGCCGCTCGGCTTCTCCTCCCTCCCAGCCTTGCTGCGCGAAACTGCTGTTTTACACCTGGCAAGCCTGGGAGGGAGGGGGGAGAAGTGGAGCGGCGGCGGCACGCTCAGGGGAGCAGGCGGAGGCGGAGCGGAGGCGAGCTGGGGCGGCGAGCTGGGGCGGCGAGCTGGGGCGGCGGGGGCACTTTTTCTCCATGCCACGGAGTCGGTGCCTATGATGGCCGGCGCCAGAATGCCGCCCCTAGAAATGTGCCGCCCCAAGCACCTGCTTGTTTTGCTGGTGCCTAGAGCTGGCCCTGTTTGTATTAGAACCTTGTTTGTATTAGATCAAAAGCCCTTTCAAGTCAATAGAAAGATTCCCAGTGCTTTCAGCCAGCTTCACTGGGGCTTGTGTACCTGGTGCACCAGTGTGCCTACAGGGAGGGGAGTGATTTCTAAAGCGCGCTAATGTGTTGCGTGCTAATTGGTCTGTGTAGCCCCTGCCTGTGTGCACTAAAAGTTCCCTAGTGCCCTTTAACGGGGTGCTGTTTGAAAGCGGTTGTACGTTAAAGGGCACTAGGAAACTTTTAGTGGGCACCAGCAGGGTCATGGATCAATTAGTGTGGAGTGCGTACCCTGCCAAACTGTGTAGACAAGCCCTACGGGACCTTGAATGCAGTCCTGGCCCCATTGATGTCAATAGCAAAAGTCACTTTGATTTCCGTGGGCCCAGACTTTCAGCCCTAGTACAGCAATATAAATAGGAGGCTGTAGAGACTAGGATGGGGGGTACTTTTTCTTAGCCTAGCAGATATATGTTTCTGTAGTTGCTGTTTATTTACTTTGGGATATCTGGAACATCCCAACAGAATGTGCACAGATACCACAGTGACGGGGTCTGTATAAAAACCTAGCTAGATTAGATAGATGGAGTGTGTGAAAGTGCAAACATAGGGACTAGTAAAAATGTTCTTTTCTCTCTCGTTTCAGCTGAAAAGCAAATAGAGTTTTGCTGCCATTTAGCAAGAGGAAGCTTAGATCCAAATGAGCCCCTAACATATGAATATGTGAAATTTGTAGTGGATTTTAAATATTTTACTCATGGTAAGTTATTGCTTCAGTCCACACTGTCTTTCTGCCTCTCTCACTTACCCTCTGTCTTTGACCAGAGCCACCTTAAATGCCTTGTTGCACTTTAAAATGCCATATAGGCAGCAGAATGGACTGTGTTACCGATGTGGGAAGAGTCGTTTTTCAGGTGACAGAGCTGGGGTGGTCATTGGCTGGAAGGGTGGCGGTGGAATCCTCTGATTGTTTTAGTTGATTTCAAAGAGACACTACCAAATAGTTCAGACGCTACATTTGGCCTTGCGGTGCTACACATTTTTGAAAACAGTCCAGTTCATTCAAAAACAACATAAAATGCTCCGGTTCGCTCAAAATGACACTTGGAAATGTTATTTGTTACCCTCAGTTTGTATAAGAAATCTGCAAAATCTTGAATCTTCCAGGATGGTGGATGCAAAAATGGCCATTTCTTGGAAATAAAATAAAATGAAGAGAGAGCGAGAGAGAGAGCGAGAGAGCATTTTCTGGATTTAATGTTGAAAATGCCCACATGAAAATGTTCTGCCTGGCTCTAATTCTAACATACAGTACAAGCTGCAGTACTGTATACTCGGAAAAATGTTCAGGGTTCAGAAATGGCATCAGTCATTCTTTTTTTCTCCCACTTCCCTTCTGTTCTTCACCTGGTAATTTTAATAGCAGTCATACTCTTTGAAAGCCTGTCATAGCGTGTTCGGTTCTTGCTGCCAGATTCCAAAAGGACCCCTATTATGAACCACTCTACATCAACAACCTTGAAACAACCCCTCCTGTCAATCATTTAGAGATATAGGGTTTCTATGCTGAATTTAATGAATGGTGTTATGTGTGGCAATGATTGCATAATATGTATGAGAAGTTTTGTTCACCATCTTTCCGATGATAGGCAGCTCAGGAAAGCAAGCGCTGTTTGGTTTACCACTCTCCCTAGGGCTGGGCCGCATGCAGTATTTCTAATTACTAGCATTAGGGCAAAATTCTCCTCACTAAGCCATGCTGCATGTCTACATTGTATAGTCTGCATCCATTCCTGGCAGTGAACTTCCACACATGTCCACGTGGTTTTTCTGCATGGAACAAATGCAGAATATGATCCTCTGGATCAATATCATACATGCGGTGCAGCTAGGAGAAGAGAATTTGGCTAATCCGCTAGTGAATTGTTTGCAAGTAAACAAAGATTCATGTTTTCTGCTGTTTTGGTGTGTCGTGGTAATTCGAGCTGAGATCTACAATGACCAAAGATCTTTTTCCTTAGTAGGACTGCTAAAGAGATTTTCCACCTAAGGTAGATAGTTGAAAAAGCATAAACAAAACGCAACGAAAGTAGCAAACAAGAAACCAGCAGCTGTATTTCACTGTCTTTGTTTTAGTGAACCTTTCAGTGCTTCTTGCCTCCTTAAGGTGCTTCCAGCTGGCAGGCTTAGGTTCATACACTTGAGTTGAGCTGAAGCTGTTACAAACAGGTTTTCTGCAAAGCCGAGGATTAGTAGTTGCATCTGTGTAACCTTTCCCATGATTGAGCCAGGAGAGTCTAGATATAGACAAAGAATCCACCAAATAAGTCTTAAATGATCATCATTTGAACAAGTTTTTGGGGGGCATGTCTCTGATTGGCTCTGAGCGTAGAAGGAGCTAATTGTTCAGATTTGTTGGTTACTGTATCTGCCTTAACATTTTCTTCTTGCAATGCTGATTGGCTTGTGTTTTGATGTGTTTCTCTAGTGCCTACACCCTCCTGCAATGGCTTTGAATCAGCTATTGCAAGAGCATTCAGGTCAGCCACAGAAGAGCAGATTTGCCTTGTCGCAACTGTTCGTCTTGTTACGCCGCAGTTTTTAAAGGTGAGAGCTCTCGGGTCGTGTTTCCCTTTTTACACCAGAGATCTATAGTCGGTTTTAAAAAATGATGCTTTTCACCACAAGCGGAGTTAATGGATATTCAAGTCTGGTCATTCCTAAAGGAGAAATCTTGCAAAAGGGCCTTAAATCCTGCACTTTGAGAGCTGTGCAGTGAACTCTTCAGAGCGGAGGACCTGTGGATGAGAGATGGTGCTGTTTCATTTTGGGATGGGAGTTAGCGTCTAAAGTTTGCTTAAGAATAGCGGAGAACAAAACAGGCTCTCTGAGCATTATTGATTGCATTGCCCAGCAAGTGCGGAGCTGCATTTGAGAAGAACCATTGATGATAGCAAGAGAGGGGCCTCCTTGAGCCGTACGTTCAAGAAGTTACGAGGAAACACGGTTTCCAGCTGAAGCCCTGGAAAAGCTGCATCTCAGAAAGAAACTTGCCAAACTCACTGACTGTGTAAGAATACTGCCTGCTCTTTTCTGACCATGGGAACCAGACTTTTATAACCTGCTGTTTATCCACAGAAGGGAACTATGTGCATAATAATGATAATAAAATTCAGTTGTGGCCCATTCACTGCCAGAGTGTTAGGCTTGGTCTACACT